AACTTAACTTTAACTTAACTTTAATTTAACTTTAACTTAACTTTAACTTAACTTTAACTTAACTTTAACTTAACTTTAACTTAACTTTAACTTCACTTTAACATAACTTTAACTTAACTTAACCTTAACTTTAACTTAACTTTAACGTAACATTAATTTAATGTTAACTTAACTTTAACATAACTTTAACCTAACATTAACTTAGCTTAAGCATTAATATAACTCTCACATAATTTTGACATAACTTTAACTTAATTTTAACTGAGCTTTCACATAGCTTTACCTTGAACATTACTTTAATTATAAAATTATTTTAATTTTAGCTTCACTCTAACGTAACTATAACTTAACTTACACTTAACTTTAACAAAACATTAACTTATTTGTTTACTTAAACATTACTTTAACCTAATTTTAACTTAACTTCAACACAACCTTAAATAAATTTAAACTTAAATTTAACATATCATTAACTTAACTTTAATCTAACATTAACTTACCATATCTTTAACTTAACTTTAATTTTATAATAACTTTAACCTAACTTTAACATAACTTTAAACTAACTTGAACTAAACTTTAATATAACCTTAAATTAATTTTAACTAAAATTTACCATAAATTTAACCTAAGATTAAGTTAACTGTAATTAACTTTAAATTATATCTAAAATTTAAAATAACTTTAACATTAACATAGCTTGAACTTAACTGTAACCTAACATTAATTAAATAGATCTTTAACTTAACTTTAACTTTATAATAACTTTAACTTAACTTGAACTAAACTTTAACACAACCTCAAATTAATTTTAACTCAAACTTAACATAACTTTAACCTAACATTAACTAAACTTTAAATTTTATCTTAAATTTAAAATAACTTTAACATTAACATAACTTGAACTTAACTATAACCTAATTCAAAGTGTTTTTTATGTTACTTCATACGCGAAGTTAACGATTTTCAGAGTTGGTTGGAAATGCTAACATGAAGCTTTAGTGTGATGATTTATTAGCTAGAGAATGATCTTTAGAAGAATGTAGGTGGATAGTTCCGTTAGAGTACGGCAGTATGAAAATTGAATAGAAGTTGAAAATGAGCGAAGGGCCATTAAAGCGACAGTTTTCAAGATGACGCACATTTTTGCCTGTGGACTTGGAGACATACTTCAAGTCCCCGCGTACATCGTACGGGCTAGGCAAAAATGTGCGTCATCTTGAAAACTGTCGCTTTAATGGCCCTTCGCTCATTTTCAACTTCTATTCAATTTTCATACTGCCGTACTCTAACGGAACTATCCACCTACATTCTTCTAAAGATCATTCTCTAGCTAATAAATCATCACACTAAAGCTTCATGTTAGCATTTCCAACCAACTCTATAACCTAATATTAACTTAACTTATCTTTAACATAACTTTAACATAACCTTAACGTAATTTTAACTTAAATTCAACATAATTTTATCCTAACATTAACTGAACTTCAACTTAACTTAGCAGAAACATAACTCTAATTTAATTTTGACATAACTTTAACTTAATTTTAACTAAGCGTTCCCATAACTGTACCTTGAATATAACTTTAATTTTAAAATGATTTTAACTTTAACTTTAACTTAAACATAACTTTAAGTTAATTTATACTTTAACATAACATAATATAACATTAACTTAACTCTAACATAACTTTAACTTAACGTTAATTTAACTTTAATTTAACTTTAAATTACCTATACCAGAACTTTAACTTAAGTTTAACATAACTTTAACTTTAAAATAACTTAAACTTAACTTTAACACAAATTTAACTTTAAAATAACTTAAACTTAACTTTAACTTTAAATTAAATTGAACTTAACGTTAACTTAAACTTAACTTTCAGTTAACTTAAACTTTAACATAATATTAGCAAAACTTTAACTTAAACTTAACCAAATATAACATAAATTTAATTTATTTTTGGCTTAAATTTAACTTAAGTTTAACATAACTTTAACTATAAAATTACTTTAACTTAACTTTAACACAACTTTAACATAACTTTAACTTACCTTTAACATTAATTAAACTTAACTTTAAAATAACTTTAAGTTAACTTTAACTTTACTTGAACCTAACTTAAGCAAAACTTTAACATAAATTTTACCAAATTTAACATAAATTTAAGTTATTTTTAGCATAACTTTAACTTTAGGATAGCTTTAACTTACCAATTACACAACTTTAACTTAAGTTTAACATAACTTTAACTTTAAAATTACTTTGACTTACCTTTAACATCACTTTAACTTACCTTCAACATAACTGTAACTTAATTTAAACTTTAAAATAACTTAAACTTAACTTTAACTTTAAAATGACCTAAACTTAACTTTAACTTAAAAATAACTTAAACCTTTAACTTTAAAATAACTAAAACTTAACTGTAACCTTACTTGAACATAATTTTAGCAAAACTTTAACTTAAATGTAACCAAATTCAACAAAAATTTAATTTATTTTTTGGCATTACTTTAACTTTAAGAAAACTTTAACTTACATATAACATAACTTTAACTTAAGTTTAACATAACTTTAACTTGAAAATTACTTTAACTTACCTTTAACATAACTTTAACTTAACTTTAACTTAACTTTAACTAAACTTCAACATAAAATTAATATAATTGTAACTTAATTTTAGCATAACTTTAACCTAACATTTACTTAACTTTAACTTAACTTTAAATTTTAACTTAAATTTAACATAACTTTAACTTAACTTTAACTCTAACATAACTTTAACTAAACTTTAACATAACCTTAACGTAATTTTAACTTAAATTTAACATAACTTTAACCTAACATTAACTGAACCTTAATTTACCTTAACCATAAACATAACTCTAACTTAATTTTAACCTAACTTTAACTTAATTTTACCTTCGCTTTCACATAACTTTACTTTGAACATAACTTTAGCTTAACTTTACTTGAACAAACATAACTTAAACTTAACTTTTACTCTAACTTAACTTTTACTCTTACTTAACTTTTACTTTAACTTATCTTTAAGATAACTTTTTCATAACTTTAACATTACGTTTACATAACTTAAATGAACTTTAAATTAACTTTAACTAAACTTTAACTAAATTTCAACTCAAGCCGAACTTTTACTTAACTTTAACTTAAATTTAGTTTTTGCATACTTAATTTAATTTAACTTAAAAATAACTTTAACTTTTACTTAATTTTAATAAAACCTTACTTTACCTTAAACATAGACATCGGGATCCGGCATCGGCATGCGTTGCATCAGCGGATTCCTCCAGCGGCTCAATTTTGGGAACTAATTACTTCAAAATTGATCCACTGGAGAGGACTTTAAATTTTTTATTTAAAAGCAATTTACTTACCTTGAGTATGAACTGGAAAGATGTCTGTTCCCTTCGTTGGTCCCGTCGGAAGACCATTCAATCCCGTAGATGGTCACTGGAGACCAATTTCGCAGCCCGGATAATCGGAGCAAGCAGCCGGCTGAAAAAAATTATTTACAAAAATTATCATTGTTTTGGTTTTTATTTCATTTAAAAAGCAATTTACTTACCTTGAGTATGAAGCAGAAAGATGTCTCTTCCTTTCGTTGGTCCTGTCGAAAGACCATTCGATCCCGAAGATGGCCATCGGAGACCAATTTTGCAGCCCGGATAATCGGAGCAAGCAGCCGGCTGAAAAAAATATTTACAAAAATTAACATTGTTTTGGTTTTTATTTCATTTAAAAGCAATTTACTTACCTTGAGTATGAAGTAGAAAGATTGCTCTTCCCTTCGGTGGTCCCGTCGGAAGACTATTCGACCCCAAAGATGGCCATCGGAGGCCAATTTTGCGGACCAGATAATTTTATGAGCAGCCGGCTGAAAAAAAAATGAGGTACAAAAATTAACAACATTGTTTTGATTGTTTTGTTAATTTAAAGCATTTTACTTACCTTGAGTATGAACTGGCAAGATGTATCGTCGGACCATCGGACCAATCCGGAAGATGGCCATCTGAGGCCAATTTTGCGACCCGGATAAAAAAAAACCAGCACCTGCCACGAACGAAATGAAAACATGGCTGACCGCTTAGTCAGCCGACGCAAAAAAAAAATCGCAAAAAAATGGCTAAGTTTCATCCGCCATTTGGTAGCCCGGCGCATGAAATTACTCTAGCGGGGCGAGTCGCCCTTCGTCCGCATCCCGGAGCGCTATTTGGTAGCCCGGCGGATGAAATTACTCTAGCGGGGCGAGTCGCCCTTCGTCCGCATCCCGGACAAAGGGCGAACGATCAGTCTTCAAGTCGCTTAATGTCAAATGACGTCACTTTTTCGCCGGCAATTCGTGTGGGAGTGAGCCAATTTAAAATCGTTAGTTTAGTATTGATTGTTGGTGTAAAGTTGTTTATTATTTTCCTCTGGCTAACCTAAAAAATGCATGAAAGTAGATCTGTCAAAATGAGTTTGACATCGATTTGTTATGTATTTTCCTCGGATATTCACTAACACGCTCTCACATATCGCACCAATACATCCGAACGTGAAAATCTCTATTTGATTATAATTTTTGATATTCGATTATTTCGACAGTGAGCATTCATAAGGGCGTATACGCGATGATCGATTCTCTTCATCGATTTTCTCTTTTGTTAATAACTCGCTAGATTTAACGTTTGTCGGTGCGTTTGCTGTTGCTTTTGATAGTCAATGCAACCTGTTACAACTCTACATTGAACAAATTCTACAAAATTGTTTCGCTTAGCTGTAGCAATGCAAAGAGAAAATCGATGAAGAGAATCGATCATCGCTTATACGCCCTTATGCATGCTCACTGTCGATTTGAATTAATTATTTGAATAATTTGAACTAATCGAACGATTAACCGACATCCCTACCGACATCGGGCGGCGAAATATTTTTGAGCTGTCATCAAACAAAAAGTGAAGCCGCTTTCCCAAACAAATCAAACAACACACAGAGTCGTGTACTGCTGCGGATAGATTCCTAAGTTTTTGTCAAAAACTCATCAAACCCTGGTAAAAATGGTCGAAGCCAACGGAATCGAGTTGACCGAGCATGAAGCTGAGTTGTACGATCGTCAGATTCGTCTGTGGGGACTCGAATCCCAGAAGAGGTAAGCCCGGTGTTGATTAATTGGTAACATAACCTCGTATTCGGTCTAAAATCTGAATGGAATCGTTTCGAAATTACAGATTACGAGCCGCCCGTATCCTGATTGCCGGAGTAAATGGTCTCGGAGCGGAAATTGCAAAGAACATCATTTTGTCTGGCGTAAAAGAGGTAACGCTGCTGGATGATCAGGTGGTGAAAGAAGTGGATTTCTGTTCCCAGTTTCTGGTTCCGCAGTCGGCATTGGGAACGAATCGTGCCGAAGCTTCCCTGTCTCGGGCCCAGCAACTTAACCCAATGGTTGAGTTGAAGGCAGACACGGAGAAACTAGCCAAGAAGTCGGATGATTACTTCAAGGGCTTCGATGTGGTGTGCATCTTAGGAGCTACGACTGAGCAGTTGCTTCGTATCGATGGCGTGTGTCGGGAGGCCGGAGTGAAGTTCTTTGCCGCAGACTTGTGGGGTATGTTCGGGTTCAGTTTCGCCGATCTACAAGAGCACAACTTTGCCGAAGATGTAGTGAAGCATAAAATCATTTCCAAGCCTCACGAAAAAACTAAAACCGAGCTGGTAACTTCGACTGTAAAGCGTACGCTGAAGTACCCGCCCTACCAGGCGGTCTTGGACTTTGATTTCAAGGCCAAATCGTATGCTCGTAAGCTGAAACGTTCCGGTCCTGCTCTGCCACTGCTCCGTGTTCTGCAGACATTCCGTGACAACGAGAAACGTGATCCGCTGCATTCGGAACGGGAGGGCGATCTGCAAAAGCTGCTGAAAATTCGCGACGAACTGGCAGCTGATCTGGTTCCAGATTCTGCCCTGGTGCACGTTTTTGCACAAATATCGCCGGCAGCTGCCATCGTGGGAGGTGCTGTGGCGCACGAGGTCATCAAAACCGTTTCGCAGAAGGAAGCCCCGCACCATAATGTTTTCCTGTTCGATCCGGAAAGTTGCTGCGGATTCATCGAAACGATCGGTGCGGATGCCTAAAAGGTGCGAATGGAAAACATTTCCGGCTCTCGCAATTAATATTTAAGACAGTAAGAATACTATAATTAACTCTGAATCCTATTCAATAAAATAATCTGATAACCGCATTCATTCCATAATAAATATTTATTTCAACCATTCTCCTTCGATGCGCCCCTTGTAATTTACCGGTAAGAAGCAAACAAACGCTTCAAAAGTTCGGCGGCAACGCTGAGGTTACGTCACCTAAAAAATTGAAAACAAAACTACGTCATCTTTTTTCTTTTCGGGCTGAGTTTGTGTGTGTACGTGCAACTTTCCGACGGCGACGGATTTGCATATGTGTTGGAAAGTTTATTTTCGTTCCGAAACCGCTGCCGTCTTTCGTCGTTGCTGTGCGGTACAAGTGAAATGGTATAGTGAATGAGTTTCTTTGGGAGTGCGAGTGAGTAGATTCATCACAGAAAGGTACAGTCGAGTGCTTTCTTCGAGGGAGGCCCCTCAGCCGCAAGTTGTGCTTCCGTAGTTTTTAGCAAAATTTTCCGTTATTTTCAATAGTTTCGGTTGCATTTTTCGGCTTATTACGCTCCCCGTGTGGTAGCGATCGAAATGTGATAGATTTTATGTGCGGAAAACTTCGAACGGTTGGTGAAATCCGCTATTGAATATTTTGAAATCTACACGAGCACGCTGCGTATGGTGGCGGCATTATTTTGATTGTTGAAAGCCGGATTTTCGTGATGCTGAATAAAATACTGTTGTTCTTCGTCGCTTTGCGACTGGCGTCGGTGTTTTTGGTGCAGACTTGGTACGTTCCGGACGAGTACTGGCAGAGTTTGGAAGTGGCTCATCGGCTTGCATTTGGGTAAGTTCTTCGTTTGTGTATGCGGAAGGGGAAGGGAAAGGCGCGTCCGGTGGGCGACGTGGAAGGAGATTTGTAATTTTCAGAGGTGAGCCGAGCACAGGACAGCAAACGGTGTTCATTTCGGAAGCAAACGCTTAGCGTGAACTGCAGGGTCACGTGCGTCCCCGGGTGTTTATTTCAATGCACAGGGGGTTCATCAATGGATGGGTTGATTAACTATGCTAATGTAACTCAATATCCCGGGTGATGAGTCTGCGACAGCCCTTGAAAATTTCGTTAATTTTTTAAATAGTAACTGTTGTGAAATTTTAATATAAATTTATGCAAATTTCTTGTTAAAATCGATTAATCTTGTACACAATTTATAAAATTGTTTTGCTATACATTGTTCTTTACAAAAAAGTTACTTCAATAAGCCTGGTACGCAGCTGAAAAGAAAACGGAAAAGTAATTTTTGAGGAATTTTCCCAAAAGTAAATTTGACAGCTATAGGGAGGTTTCTTTTGCTAAATTTTGAGATCATATAGCGAGGTGTCGTCAACTAACTCACCGAAATGACTTTTAATAGAAAATTTTGTATGACTGTATATAGGCACTCTAAGACAACATATTTGTTTTTCCTTCTAAACCCCTTTCAATCTTTCAGCTATGGTCATCTCACCTGGGAATGGACGCACGGCATCCGCAGCTACATCTACCCATCCGTCATAGCCGGCCTCTACAAACTGCTCGAGCTCGTCAAGCTGGATTGCGTTGAGCTGCTTGTGCTGTTGCCCCGAGTGCTGCAGGCCTTACTATCGGCGTACTCGGATTATCGATTCTACGTGTGGTCCAATAAGAGCAAGTGGTCCGCTTTCATGATAGCTACCTCGTGGTTCTGGTTCTACACGGGGTCCCGTACACTGGCGAATACACTGGAAGCTTCGCTAACGGTCATTGCCCTCAGCTATTTCCCATGGTCGGATGTAGAGTGCACCACTTTCCTGTGGCCGGTTGCAGTATCGGTTTTCGTGAGACCAACTTCTGCTATTCCATGGATACCTCTGTGTCTGCACCATGTGATGAAATCGACACATCCAGTGTGGGAACTATTGGTCAAACGATACTTTCTGATTGGATTCGTTGTCGGTACGGTATCAGTGGCCGTCGATAGCTTTGTACATGGATCACTTCTTTTGTCTCCATACGAGTTTGTTCGTTTCAACGTCTTGAAGGGAGTCGGAAGCTTCTACGGCGAACATCCCTGGTACTGGTACGTCAATGTTGGTCTTCCGACTGTGCTGGGAATTGGAACATTACCATTCTTGTTCGGCGCCGTGGAAACGCTTCGTCATCTTAAAGTCTACAAGGAACGAGGCGTTCTACTGGTGACCGTGCTGTTTACGCTGGTAGTGTACTCCCTGTTTCCGCACAAAGAATTCCGCTTCCTGCTACAGATTTTGCCTATCTGTCTTTACGTATCAGCAGACTTTTTGTCACGTTGGAGTAGGAAAGCCTCTGGGTAAGATTGCATTGGTCAACATGTTTAAACCACACATTTACACACAATATTTTGAACGTTTATAGAAAGCTTGTTTGGTTCGCTGCCCTTGTGCTACTGGTTGGAAATGTAATTCCGGCGGGATACCTGAGCTTCGTCCATCAACGTGGCACGCTGGATGTGATGTCTTCGGTGCAGACACTTTCGCGGAACTACCGTGACGAGTTCGATCAGCCACCGAAGTTCCTCTTCCTCATGCCATGCCATTCTACTCCGTTCCACAGCCATGTCCATCACAATACGACAATGCGATTCTTGCGCTGTGAACCAAACTTCCACAACGATCCAACCTACACAGATGAAGCTAACACATTCTATAAGGATCCAGTTAGCTGGCTTCGGAGAAATATACCCGTTTATCCCCGTAGTGCGACACCGTCGCATGTGATTGCATTCGATAGCCTGGAACCAGAACTTCAAGACTTCCTAACCAGCTACGAAAAGAAGGAAACCATCTTCCATTCCGATTACACAACGGATAGGATCGGTGGAAATGTGGTTATTTATGAACGGTTTGATCCTAATAAGAAAACAACACCAGCGACGTTTGTGGAAGAGGACGCAGAGGACAACCAACCGACTGAGCAGGAGACGGAAGGCTAAGGCAAAGCTCGATCAAATTTCTAGTTAAGATTTCGTGTGCATTTGACAAGTTTTTCTTTAATTCGTGTCTTTTAAAGTACGAGGTTTAAGTGGAACCAAATTCGTAGTAAGTTTTTCTTTGGCTTAAGGTAACCAATAATGTTCAGTTTCAAGTGCGGCAATAATTAACTTTTGGCACAAAGTTTGGCAATCAGATACGAGCGCGTACTTCAAATTTTTCTTCATCTAGGGTAAGGACGATTTAATTTTCTTTGGAAAAAGGAGGTATCGGAAAGTTTTTGTTTGTGGAAAACTGCCAGAATATACATAACACTCGATTACCCGAACGGCTTGTGGCAAACTGAGATGCAACTCATTGCAGATTGTACAATGTTTGACAACAATACTGCTATGATGGTTGTATCATTTAGATATAGTTTCCTATTTGTCCAAACTCCAGAACATTGCTCGCTAAGTTTACCATGTTTTTTTTTTAACTAAATAAAGTGTTCATATTTTAGAATAAATGTGTGCTTTTCTTTTGATGTGAAAAAGTCCTCATACCTATATTCGAGATAAATAATGTAAGTACAGCGATCGGAATCCGCACAACAGCCGCAAATCTACTGGTGGAGGGGTTCTCATAGCGGTCGGCTCTGGATTGAAGGCAAAAGTTATCGAAAACGATACATAGAAATCATGGAATTGTGTAGAACAAGTTTGGATTGCCATTACATTAAGCTCGCTGACCGCACTTTGTTTTTGTGTGTAGTTTACTTTCCTCCGGATCGAACTCGCGACTCTACGCTAATTGAATCCCCCAGTCAGTCTATTTGAGCTATAATGGAGATCGCTACAGCTGCTGACGAGATGATAATCATTGGCGACTTCAATCTACCGGCAATTTCTTGGCGATTATCTTACGGTGGAGTCCTGTATCCGGACCACGACCGTGCTACATTTCACTCTGGAGCTGTAAGCCTTTAGGATCATTACAGTTTCGCCACTCTGAACGTGGTTAATGCGAACAATCGTAGCTTAGACCTTTGCTTCGTCACCGCTCAGGATACTACTCCGCATTTGTCTATGGCTGTTTCCCGTTGATAAAGACTGTTCCACACCATCCTCCTTTAGTTATTGCAAGGCAACCAAATTCCTGTGATCATTCCACCCCCCCCCCCCCCTTTGAGCCAAATAGTGTGGCGTTAAGCCAAAAGGCAGTCAGTCGAAATCTGACTGTAAAGAACCGCAAGTTGGCAGTTCCAGTGGGCCTTTGAGCCAAATAGTGGGCCTTGAGCCAAATAGTGTGGCGTTAAGCCAAAAGGCAGTCAGTCGAAATCTGACTGTAAAGAACCGCAAGTTGGCAGTTCCAGTGGGCCTTTGAGCCAAATAGTGGGCCTTGAGCCAAATAGTGTGGCGTTAAGCCAAAAGGCAGTCAGTCGAAATTTGACTGTAGAGAACCGCAAGTTGGCAGTTCCAGTGGGCCTTTGCGCCAAATAGTGTGGCGTTAAGCCAAAAAGCAGTCAGTCGAAATCTGACTGTAGAGAACCGCAAGTTGGCACTTCCAGTGGGCTTTGTGCCAAATAGTGTGGCGTTAAGCCAAATAGCAGTCAGTCGAAATCTGACTGCATAGAACCGCAAGTTGGCGGTTTAAGTGGGCCGTTGCGCCGAAACGCGAAATCTGACAAAGGTCAGATAGTTTCGAACATTTGGGCTTGTTAAAGCCAAGTGGGCCGTTGCGCCAAAAGTGACAATCTGACAAAGATATAATCAAGAACAAAGAGATCGACATTCAAGTGGAAAAGTTGAAGATAGGAAAGGCCTACAAAAAGTGGCTCAAGGAACCTTTCCTAAGGGAGAATACTGTGTCACAAAGGCGTTTCCAGTGATCTTGTGGCGTGGTACTGCCAAAGAAAGGTTGTTCCGGCAGCATATGAGCAAATTCACACTACAAAACGCCACAAAGAATTAAACTAAGTGAGTAGTTTAACAACAAGAAGACAGCTAGTCGTATTACCCGGGATGGGACTTGACAATCCAGCTTCTCACTCTTCTTAATATTTTTGATGAATACCCGTCGAAAATTAGTGCATAATGTTTGACGGAGTTGATCAATGATGCCAGGATTGCAGAATGATTTTTCTACTTTAATTTGAATTTGGTTCGGAGTTTCTGCTGCAGTTTAGTACCTTGTACATCATTCTTGCTTATCACAATAAAAACAACCATAAACAAACAAGAATATCCATGGCTTAAAGCACGCCGTTGACCCTATTTTCCACCTTTACTTTCGCAAATGTAAACAATTAACAACGCCATTGACGTCAACATTGATTCCGGCATCACTGCCAGTCAGATTGATGTGATCTCTCTGTCCTTTTTATTCCACGATTGCTACTGTCAAATCGACCAATCAGTAACTGGCTCGGATTTGACAGCAAATTGGCTCGAAACCGCTACCCGATTGTCAAGTCCCGTCCCAGGTATTACAAGCGACCTGAAGAGAGCCAGCATTAGCATCATTATCATCATCATCATCATCATCATCATCATCATCATCATCATCATCATCATCATCATCATCATAGCTGCATCAGAATCCAGCTTTCCCCGGCCGGTGGCCGATATATCACAAAAGCTATACGCCAATCCTGAAGATCATCAACGACCACATCAAGTGTGAGTAAAAGAAAAAAAAATAGTAAATTTGTAATCATGAGTGAAAAATTTGTAGTAAATAAAAATGGGCACTGTCGTCTTTGTCAAGGAAAAGACGACAGTGATAACATGGTGGCCTGCGACGATTGTGATCGCTGGTTCCACTTGTTATGTGTAGGTTTAGATCACTCACCTAAGAAAACTGAGCCTTGGGCATGTGGAAAATGCACCAAGTTTAGAGCCCTTCTGGTTTCTCAGGAAGAACAAATTAAAGTTCTAAAAAATATCAAAGATAATAAAACTACAATGGATAGCCAAGTAGAGGCCTTTGAGGCAATAATAAACAAAATCAATGGTATCAACGTTAATGCTAAATCAGCAACCGAAAAATATATCTTAAGGCAATCATTATTGGATTTACCATACTTTGATGGCAATTACAAGGCTTGGCCTAAATTTAAAAAAACTTACTTTGAAACAACACAACAGGGAAATTTTTCGGACCTTGAAAATTTACACCGTCTACAAAGAAGTTTAAAAGGAGATGCATTGCGGGCAGTCAATGCACTTCTCCTAGATTCAGAAAATATAGAATTGATCATGCACAAACTTGAAGACCAATTCGGAAGTGTTGAGTTGGTTTACTCTGGGTTATTGCAAGATGTCCTTGCACTTAAAATCCCTCGTTTTGAAAATCCTAAAACGATGGTGGATTTTATATCTGGAATTGGGAATCTAGTAATTAATATGAGATGCATTGATCATGAAGAATACCTGAATGATCAAAGATTAATCAGAGATCTGGCGGGAAAATTACCCAATGGGCTGCATCAACAATGGTTGATGCATGTAAATGAAAATAAGACATTGTCAACTATATTAAATCCATTTATTGCTCCAACGCTAAGTGATTTCTATGAATGGTTAAAGCCCCAAGAAAAACTGGCTACAATGTTGATAGCTGATAAGGGGATTAAAAATGAAAAGTTTTCCAGATTGGAAAGACCCGATAGAGTGAACTACCACAGTACAGGGTATCCAAAGTGCCTTAAGTGTGGACAAAATCACCGCTTAACAGGATGCAATGAATTTAGAGGATTGTCTTCCGGTGAAAGAAGACAGTTTATAATGAAGAAGAAACTTTGTTTTTCATGTTGCAATCCAAATCATCTATTAAAGGATTGTAGAGTAGCACGACCATGCAATATTGACGGATGTACCAGTAAACATAATCGATTGCTACATCCAAGAACTGATAAAAAAGAAAATTTAAGAAAAGGTTCTGAAACCACTATTGCGTCTGACAAAGTAAACTGTCACGTACAAAAACACAACATGGTGTATTATCAAATTTTGCCTGTTACTTTGAACAACGGAAAAAACAGTTTAAAAACTCACGTATTTTTCGATTCAGGTTCATCGGTAAGCTTAATTCATAATAGCTTAGTTGAACAATTGAATATATCAGGATTTAATAAGCCTATGACTATAGCTTGGACAAACGGAGAGGTCCAAGAAGAAACTAAGAGTATGACCGTTCAAGTACGTATCAAAGGTGAAAACGGGAAATCGTTTTTGCTTAAGGATTTACGTACAATTAATGAACTGGCTTTACCCATGCAATCTATTGATTCAAAACGAATAGAAGAACAGTTCCCATATCTAAGGGGAATAGAACTGCAATCTTACAATAAGGCAGTTCCAACGATATTATTAGGATTACCACATGCATATCTCTTTAAGGGTATTGAAGAAAGATCGCGTGGATTTTCTGAACCTATTGCCAAGAAAACAAAGTTGGGATGGGTTATATTCGGTACCAGCCGAAATAACGCCAAAAACAAAAATGATGTGTTTGTAATGAATGAGGTGAATGAAGAAAAAAAATCAATGAAGGAGATTATGGCAGATTACTTATCTACAGAAGCCTTTGGCGTGAAGGTACCTCAGAGCGAATTAATATCAAAATCAGACGAACGCGCTCTAAAAATTATGCAAGAAACATGGAAACCAACTGATAAGGGTTACGAAATAGGTCTCTTGTGGAAAAATGATAAGGTAGAATTCCCAAATAGTTTTTCTACGGCTTTGAATCGCTTTCTATTATTAGAGAAGAAATTAGAGAAGGATTCTTCTTTAAAAGAATGGTATAGTACACAAATTGATGAGTATGTAAGGAAAGGATATCATAAAAAGCTAAGTCCTGATAAATATATGATTGAGACTTCGAAAACCTTTTACATACCTCATTTTATAACTATCAACCAAAGTAAACAACCGCCTAAACCAAGAATGGTATTTGATGCGGCAACTAAGATTGATGGAGTTTCTTTAAATTCACAATTATTAGCAGGACCTGACATGACAGAGTCAGCTCTTGATATAAAGATGAGATTTAGAGAAGGTCCAATAGCAATAACCGGGGATATTCAGGAGGCCTTCCATCAGGTGAAAATCAGAAAAGAAGATCGAGAATCACAAAGAATGGTATCTCGAAAGCAACCTAATACAAGATTAGACATCTATGAAATGCAAGTAATGACCTTTGGAGCTACTTGCTCACCGGCTTGTATGCAATTTGTCAAGAATGAAAATGCCAAACAATTCATAAATGAAAGACCTAAGGCAGTTGAGGCTATAATTAAAAATCACTATGTAGATGATTATTTAGACAGCTTCAACGAAGTGAAAGAAGCTGTAAAAACTGTATCAGACATCATTCAGATACATGATAAAGCTAACTTCCGAATAAGGAATTTTATATCAAATTCGAAGTCCTGCTTGAAGCAATTACCAAATGATAGAATCTCTCCAATAAAGGAAGTGAAACTTGATGATAACGAAAATGTATATGAAAAGGTCCTTGGTATGTATTGGGACACGCAAAACGATAATCTTACATTTAAAATCAACATTCCCAATTTAGTAATGTTGGAACCGACAAAAAGACAAGTGTTGTCTTTTATTATGAGTGTGTATGATCCTCTTGGGTTAATCGCACATATAACAATCGAATCTAAAATAATAATGCAAGATTTATGGCGACGTGGTATAGACTGGGATGATAAAATTCCCGATGACATAAATAAGATTTGGCAAACCTGGATTAATAGATTGTCTTCCTTATCTAAGATAAAAATCCCAAGATGTTACTCTTATTTTAAAGGTGTGATACGTCGAGAACTTCATGTTTTTTGAGACGCCTCACTGAACGCTTTCGCTACTGTTATATATATGAGAACAGTAAGCAAAGACGGCATTGATGTTACGATTGTTGCTGCCAAATCAAAGGTTGCTCCCACGAAAATAATGTCAATACCTCGTTTAGAACTACAAGCTGCTGTATTAGGGACAAGATTATCTAATACAGTACAGAAAGCATTAAGATTACAAATAGACCAGGTTATATACTGGTCCGATTCAAAAACAGTCATAAGTTGGATCAAATCTGAATTAAGAAAGTTCAAACAATTCGTTCAATATCGTGTTAGTGAAATCCTCGAAAGCACCGTTAGTTCAGCAGCAAACCCGGCTGATGAAGGAACTAAAGTAAAACAATCGAAATCGTCTTGGATTGAAGGACCAGCGTTTTTGAAGCTGGACGAGAAACATTGGCCATCCGTGAATGGGGACAATCATAGTTCAGATTTAAGTCATGAAGAATTACGTCCCGTACATTCAATAAAGAGCATAAGCAAACCAAATTTAGATTGGCTGAACGTTAAATGGTGTTCGGATTGGAACCGTTTAAAAAGGTCTGTATGCATAACAATAAATATATAGAGTGGCTTAGGTCTAAAACAAACAAAGAATTGAGATTTGATAAGACAATCAGTGCTTGTTGAAAATCGTTTCAATAGGAATTTTCCGATGTTATAATTCTCCACCGACGGCAATAAAACGCAATATTCGGTTTTGGGAGAATATAATTTTCCTGTAAGATGCAGGACATTTGTGATCAATATTAGTTATCAATTTTGTGTTTCATAAAAGTATCAATTAAATTCAGTATTTGTGCTTTATAGATGTAAGTTTAGATTGTAATTTTAGCCGGTAAGACTTACGTTTAGTTCCTTTAGCATATAACTCCCGGCTGGGATTTAAGTGGGTTCTCGACCTGATTATTGTGGTTGTCCTAATGGTAATAGAGTTTAGCGTTTGTTGTGTTTATTACTGTACCTATGTATGACCTTACCGATTGGCTTTCGTATGGTAAGATTAATATGGTTTAATCCTCTCGTGACCTTTGAAACGCAATTGACGGCAATATCCTACATAATTAAGTAGATTAATAGTAATTTTCGAGGAAACACTGTAGTTTAAGTTTCTCACCGATTGTAGTGTCTAATAGAATTGCGGCACTACTGCAAAGCTGGTGTTATTGTTGTGGGTAACCTAGTTATAACTAATAGCAATTAAGTTTCGTTTAAGATAGTTTTAAGTGATCTCAGCTTACCGGCTCAAACAATTTCACGGTTAATTTTAATATTTAGCACCTAGGTTCACTAGTTTAAGATTAATTTAAGTTCAATTTAATAATAGATGCATAAGAAACATTTAGGACTGAGAATGTTATAATTTTCGATTCCAATCGTCTGGCTCTATCTTTTTATCCTCTTCCTTACTCACCCCGGTGTCAGATCGGTACCTGTCACTCCGCTGTCAAACCCACTGCAGGGATGTTCTGACACGGTAGGTGCGCTCAGGCCAGTGCGGCCAACACTCCCCCCAGGGTACGACAACCCCTGGTTGGCTTACTCTCCGTCGCACCATATGTCTAGAACAGCAAGCTTCGTCGCCGGGCGATCGTATACGCCACTCGCTGTCCTCACGGTTGCGGACCGAACCTGGTCATCCTGGCTGACTTTGGTGCTGATGACTTTACCCTTCGGCCAACAATTGCGGGGCATGTTGCAATCAGCGATGACTACAATATCGCCCACGGCGATCGGTTTTGTATGACGAAACCACTTGGTTCGGCGAGTGATTTCTGGAAGGTAGTCCGACACCCAACGCTTCCAATATTGGTTCGCTAAAATTTGCGACGTACACCAGTTCTGTCTCAGGGCTGCGCCGCTATCATCGAGGCTTGTGATCGGTTTCGAACCACTGGACGATCCAAGCAGAAAGTGATTCGGAGTCAACGCTGGGGCCGAATCCTCATCAATCGGCACGTGAGTTAGTGGACGCGAGTTGACTGTATTCTCCACTTCAGTTAGTAGATTGCGGAATACTTCATCGGACGTCTTCTTCGACGAACAAACAACCATCAAGTTGTTCTTGACGGTGCGAATCAATCGCTCCCAGCTACCGCCCATGTGTGGTGACAGAGGTGGGTTGAACACCCACTCAATCCCAGAGCTCGTGAACTCTCTCATCAGTTCGTGTTGGTTTACTGCTTCGTTGGCTTGCTTCAGTTCCCGATTTGCACCGATGAAGTTCGTACCACGGTCACTGTAAATCTTCTGGGGAGTGCCACGCCGTGCAATGAAGTTACGGATCGCCATGATGCAGGAGCTTGTGCTAAGCGAATGTACAACTTCAATGTGGATTGCCCGCACCGTCAGACAAGTGGCTAACATTGCCCACCGCTTCTCAACCCTTCTTCCGACGACAACTTCAACCGGCCCGAAATAGTCAACTCCGACATGCGTAAATGGTCGTGAAAATGCAGCGAGGCGGGCTGGCGGAAGATCGGCCATATATGGTGGGCTAGGTGTTGTGTGCTGGTTCTTGCACCACTGGCAATCCTTCCGTACTCGCTCGTAACAGGCGCGTAGATGAGGGATGTGAAACTTCTGCCGTATTTCATTGATAACGGTTTCGTGGTTTTGGTGGTGGTATTTGTGGTGGTAGTATGCTACGATCAGGGTGGTGGTGTGGTGATTTCGATTGAGAATGATTGGCTGCTTCGCATCATCGGTGGCGTAGTGACAAGCAGCAATCCGCGTTCGCATGCGCAGGACTCCACGTTCGTCCAACCATGGCGATAACTGGTATAGAGAGCTGGTTTTAGGGACAGTACTTGTGGAAGAATCGGCTTTGGCTTTCTGAAGAGCAGCAACTTCGTCGGGGTACGTTTCCCGTTGCGCGAGTCGTATCAGCGAACTCTCGGCGATCAGCATGTCATTTGCTGTAAGTGGTGCCGTGTTAATCGATCTCCTGGCGTGCTTTAGGCGACAGTTATTCGCGAAACGATGAACGAGTGCTGCAACTTTAACCAGCCTCTTCCAGCTTGAGTATTTGCAGACACTGATGACGGGTTCCGACGGTGCGTGATGACCCAGAAAGGAAGGGCGAAGTTCGGTCTCGGTAGATCCACTAAGTGTTGGCGATGGCGGCCAATCTTCTTCAGCGCGCCAGAGAAAGTCTGCTCCTTTGAACCATCTATGATCTGATGACATATCTGGTAGGCTACTCCACTTGGTAGCGTCGTCAGCGCAGTTTAGCTTGCTCGGGACCCACCGCCATTCACGTGCTTCCGAAATCTCTACAATATCACTGATCCTGTGACCAACGTATTGACTATAGCGGCGATGGTCCGAGTTGATCCAGCATAGGACGTCTCGGGAATCTGACCAGTACACCTTCCTGCAGATCTGGATGGACAGCGATCCTTCGACAGCGCGAGCCAAACGGGCGCCAAGGACAGCAGCTGCTAGTTCCATCCTTGGGATCGACGTAAACTTAAGCGGTGCGACTCTTGTTTTTGCGGCGACGATGGAGCAGATGATCGTTCCGGTCTTGACGAAACGCAAATAGCAAACGGCGGCCATGCCATTTTCGCTGGCATCCACCATCGTGTGGAGTTGGATATCGTCGGCTTCTTCCGCGGGGTATTTGGAGTTATAGCATCGAGGGATTTGAACCTGTTCAACTCTAGGTAGAACTTGCAGCCATGTGTTCCATTTTTCGTTTGCATTGTCGTCGATTTCTTCGTCCCATTGCACACCGGACCGCCAGATTTGCTGGAGCAGGATCTTCAGGAACGATAGAAAGTGGGAAATCAAGCCGAGCGGATCGAAAATGGTCATTAGAACACGCAGCACTTCCCGCTTCGTCGGACGTCGTTGGCCTTCTAGCAGAGCCGGGTCGTAGCGGCTCCATCCGACTTTGTAGGTAAAGACGTCGTCGCTCGTGTTCCACCACATGCCTAACACCTTCTCAGTGGCCAGCTCTGGAGATAAGTCGAGACATTTTTCGTCGGTGTTTGCCTCCTGTAGCGATGAAAGTACTTTTCTCGAGTTACTTACCCAATTTCGGATCTCAAAGCCACCCTGCTCGTGTACATGCTTAACGTCTTTCGCCAACTGGATCGCTTGCTCTTCTGTATCCACACTGACGAGCATGTCATCTACGTAATGAGACTTCATGATAGCTTCGCATGCAGCTGGATATTTGTTCGCGAATCTTTCCGCATTGGTATTTTTCACGAACTGTGCAGTGCTTGGGGAGCAGCAAGCCCCGAATGTCATAACCTGCATCACGTACACTACTATGGCTCCATGGTCGTCTATCCAGAAGAAACACTGACATAACTGGTCTTCGGCTCGGATCAGTACCTGGTGGAACATTTCACGGATATCACCAGTCAGTCCGATGCGGCGTTCCCGAAACTGAAGTAGAATTGCGAGAAGTGAGCTCAACAGATCCGGTCCTTTTACCAGCGCTGAGTTCAAGGACATGCCGTGAGCGATAGCTGCTGCGTCCCACACAATTCGCACCTTCCCAGGTTTGTTTGGGTTGGTTACGGGAAAAATTGGCAAATACCAGCGTCGTGGAATCTTCTGGTTGATTTCTTCGTCTGTAAGCTTCCGGATGTACTCCTTCTCCACATACTCGGTTATCTTTGATTGCAGGATCTTTGACATTTCCGGGTCTTTCTCCATCCGTTTCTTTAGGCACTGCAATCGACGCAGCGCCATTGATTGACTGTCTGGCAATCGGGTGTCATCGTATCGCCACAGCAATCCGGACTCGTATCGATTATCTTTACGACGGGTCAGCGACTGAAGCAATAAAAATGCTCGTTCATCTTCAACGGATAAAAGCACCTTCTCCGGTTTAGCCACCCCGAGACTGTCTAATGAAAAGTAGTCCTTCATAGCCTGATGCAAGTCCTCGTCTGACTTCACACTACAGGGGCAAACGTGGAAGGTGTAATGGTGTAGGTTGGCGTCGCTCCCGGAACCCCATCCTCCGCATACCGTCCATCCGAGGCGTGTCTTTATAGCGATTGGTTGACCGATTCCCCCTTCACGATTTTTCAGGCCAAGACTGAGCTGGGCGTGCTTCATCCCTATAAGAATGCGTGGACGAGCGTCGCGATAAGATTCGATCGGCAGATCTTGGAGGTGTGGATACAACTGTGACAACTCAGCCATGTCCATCGTTTGCTGGGGCAACAGTAGCTCTTTCACCGTCCTCACGTCACTCAAGAGGAATTTCTTGCTTTCGTTTTTAACACCACCAATGTGAAGATTGTAGATGCGAGAATCCGCCTCGTGTCGTTCAGTTCCTCCAGTCCACCGGAGACACAGAGGGTTTACAGTGCCATCAAGCTGAAGCTCGTTAGCAAGCTCCTGATCGAGCAGCGTTAATGCAGAACCTTCATCTAAGAATGCATACGTGCGTATTGCTCTCTTGTTTCCGTACAACACTACTGGGAGATAACGGAACAATACTGAGCTGACGGTTGTCTGATGGGTGTTGCATCCAGACTTGCTAGTGCTGGGTTGCGGAGATTGCTCACGCCTGGCCGTAGTTTCGGTGCTTTTCGGCTTGTCCTTCGAATCGTTGTGCAGCAGCTCGTGGTGCCGGTAGGTGCATCCGTCTTTGCCACACGGTTTCGCTTTGCAGTATCCTTTATGGATGCGCAGACATGTACGGCAGTAGCCAAATTCCCTTACGGCGGCCCAGCGCGATTCTCTAGAGAGCTCCAGAAAACGATTGCACTTATCAGCCGACTTGCAACTTCTCCTGCAGATTGGGCAGGCTTCCTGGTACGATGTTGATTCTGCCGTTGGTGGTTCTTCGAAGTCGCTGCTGTAATTCTTTTTAGGATGAAAGGTTTCAGAATGGGCGTTAAGGTACGTGTTTCCTTTCTTATTCCCGTGTGCATTTCGAGTTGGCTTCTCGTCTTGAACCGCCAAGGGGAATACAACAACACTCGCTGCTTCCGCCAAGCCATAAATCCACTCACTGAAGGTCGCCAGGTTGACCGTTGACAGTGTTCGACGATGCTGTGCCCAGTTGAGTTTAAGCGACGGTGGTAGCTTTCCGACAAGCTGGTGTAGTAAAGTAATATTATACATGTACTCCTGCAGTCCACACGCGTCTACAGTGGCACAGAAGTTTTGAACGTTCACCGCAAAGTCCACTAGCGTTTCCAGCTTGTCTTCCCGGATTGGCGATAAAGAGCCCACCTTACGAATCAGCGATTGTATGATTACTTCGGGCTGACCAAACAGCATCTTCAATGTTGATAAAATGCCAGGAACGTTTCCGGAATGCATCAGCCGACTTTTGACAGCATCATAAGCTCTTCCTTTCAGGCTTTTCTGTAGTCGAACTATGTTTTCATCCTCCGTAAATCCGCACATCGTAGTCGTTCGATTGTACATGGATATGAAAACTGGCCACTCCTCGGGATCGCCCGAAAACGTAGGTAAATCTTTGGAGACTGCTTGTCGTGCTGCAACTTGAGAGCGGGAAAGCTGGAACTGGTCATCATCATCCACAATAGAAGAGTTTATTGAATGCCTCCTACTCTGTCTATCGATAGGATTCGCAGCTGACCTATGCGGGTAATCCAATTCTATCGGATGAAGCTGCGTCGACTGTGGTAGGGCATCTGGTAGGAATTGACCAGGATGCCCACGTATCGACTCTCTGCAGAACCCTTCTTCCAGATTCTCCGGTGGGGGGTTGAGTTGTGGATCTGGCATCTGGTTGGACAGAATTATATTTCCCGGTCGTCGCATGACCCTTTGACCATCCGCTAGCTGTTGTTGTTGATCGCGTAGAATTTTCTCCTTTTCCAACTGCTGTTCCCACATTCGATTGATGGCATCCGCTTCCTTCTTTAACTCTTCCTGTTGCTGTCGCAAAAGATTCTCCTGGCGTATTTGCTCCTGCCGCTGATGCTGTTGAAACTGCCGAAATTTTTGCTCTCTCTCCAACTGCTTCTGTTGCTGCTTTCGTAGCTGTTCTGCGTGCGACCGTTGTTGCCGTTGTTGCTCTTGAAAGGCTGTTTCCTGGTGCTGTTGTTTCTCCTGAAGCTGCTCTTGACGTAGCTGTTCTTGCAAGCCGTCATGTTCACGGGCTTGTTCCTGAGTGACGGGTTTGGCTATCTCTAAGGGTGCAGGGTTAGTTGTTTGCACCCATTCTTCAACCCGACGACGAGAGGAGTTAGAGCTCCGACTCGATCCTTTTTCGCTCGCCAGGTCCTCCAGAATTTTATACTTGTTGTCCAGATATTCCTTATACTCCTGGGCTGCCTTTTCCTCAGCGAGTCTTCGGCGCTCTTCTTGCTGCTGCTGAAATGCTCGTTCTTCCTGCAATCTCATCAGCTGAAGCTTGGCGCGGTTTCTCGCAGATTTTTGTGAAGAGGATATGGAAATCTCGGAAAACGCCTCCTCTGCAACGATTACTGGCACATCTACGCCAGGCAACGATGACTTCTGCTTTGGTTGACAAAACACTGAGTCTAAAGGCGCTGGCTGCTGACTGGTTGACGGAACTGTCAACGACTTAGCTGACTTTTGTGATGCTGAAACTGAAGGAATCACTGGATTGCCACGGGTACTTGTCACGATCTTCCCGATGCTTAGATCTTGCAGCGATCTCCGATGTTGAATGACGTCATCCCTTATAGGTGCTCCATCCGAAGCTGCCTTAGTTCGCTGGATCCATTTCGCAGTCACGCAGTTTGTACAACTCCAGCTCTTGTCGGCAACTTCCTCCGATACGCCTACACATGAAAAGTGGTGCCATCCATCACATACGTCGCACTGGACCATTTCGTCGGTATCAGAACCTTGACACGTTCTGCAGGTATGTCCTTCCACAGTTTCCTCCAATGTCACCACATCCGGATTACCACCACCATCACCACCAGTAGCATTTACTCCTTTCATCACTCCACTTTCATTAGATCCACTTCGAAAGGCATCCGTTGCATCGGATTTACTACCACTTCGCGACATAACTTGACCGACCGTACCGTTTCAATAAACGAAAATTATATGTTGTTGAAAATCGTTTCAATAGGAATTTTCCGATGTTATAATTCTCCACCGACGGCAATAAAACGCAATATGCGGTTTTGGGAGAATATAATTTTCCTGTAAGATGCAGGACATTTGTGATCAATATTAGTTATCAATTTTGTGTTTCATAAAAGTATCAATTAAATTCAGTATTTGTGCTTTATAGATGTAAGTTTAGATTGTAATTTTAGCCGGTAAGACTTACGTTTAGTTCCTTTAGCATATAACTCCCGGCTGGGATTTAAGTGGGTTCTCGACCTGATTATTGTGGTTGTCCTAATGGTAATAGAGTTTAGCGTTTGTTGTGTTTATTACTGTACCTATGTATGACCTTACCGATTGGCTTTCGTATGGTAAGATTAATATGGTTTAATCCTCTCGTGACCTTTGAAACGCAATTGACGGCAATATCCTACATAATTAAGTAGATTAATAGTAATTTTCGAGGAAACACTGTAGTTTAAGTTTCTCACCGATTGTAGTGTCTAATAGAATTGCGGCACTACTGCAAAGCTGGTGTTATTGTTGTGGGTAACCTAGTTATAACTAATAGCAATTAAGTTTCGTTTAAGATAGTTTTAAGTGATCTCAGCTTACCGGCTCAAACAATTTCACGGTTAATTTTAATATTTAGCACCTAGGTTCACTAGTTTAAGATTAATTTAAGTTCAATTTAATAATAGATGCATAAGAAACATTTAGGACTGAGAATGTTATAATTTTCGATTCCAATCGTCTGGCTCTATCTTTTTATCCTCTTCCTTACTCACCCCGGTGTCAGATCGGTACCTGTCACTCCGCTGTCAAACCCACTGCAGGGATGTTCTGACACGGTAGGTGCGCTCAGGCCAGTGCGGCCAACAGTGCTGTTGATATGGAAAAGGCAGAAATTTTGCTGATTCTGAAAACTCAATGGGATGCATTTCCAGATGAGTTAACGGAACTCAATGTTAAACAAACGGTGGACAAATCTAGCAAAATACGAACGCTAACACCATTCCTAGATCAAAATGGTACAATAAAATCAGAAACACGATATAAGGATGCAGAGTGCGTTCCTTATGCAGCTCGATATCCTTACATACTTCCAGCAAAGCATCATGTAGTTGATTTAATATTGAAAAATCAACATGAACAGTTTAAACATAAAAAAATGAAGGCTACGATAGCAGCAGTGCAACAAAAATATCATGTTATTCAAATAGATGCTGGAATGAAGAGGACAATAAAAAAATGTCAATATTGTAAAAATGAAAATGCGAAGATAAATACCCCTAAAATGGCACCTCTACACAGCAAAAAAAAAATGTAATATCGATCAACGTAATTCAAGCTGATGTATGAAATAATGATGTAATAGCAAAAAGCAGATACAATATTACATCAATGGATGTAATTTTGTTCGCAAAATCGATGTACATCGTACAATGTGATATTACACAACCGAGGGATTGACCTGGTTGCAGCAGTTTCGATGTAATATTCAACAACTTTTTTTGCTGTGTACCTGAGTGTCGATTGCAACCGTTCGTGAAACCATTCACCCATACCGGAGTAGATTACTTTGGGCCGTACAATGTGTCGATCGGACGAAGAACAGAACAACGATGGGGAGCATTGTTTACATGTATGACAACAAGGGCAGTATATCTTGAAATAGCCCATGATCTGTCTGCAGATGCATTTTTATTATGCTTGAACTCAGTACAGAACAGACGAGGCAGAATAAAATTCCTTTATAGTGACAACGGTACTAATTTTGTAGGAGCTGATAACGAACTAAAAAAGATTCAGCACAGACTTGCGTCAAGAGGAATTGAATGGCATTTCAATCCTCCATCATCTCCACACTTTGGTGGAGCATGGGAAAGATTGGTTCAAGAAGTTAAAAGTCTTTTACCAAATCAAACTATGCAAGAACACACATTCCGTGCGTTATTAACAGAAATCGAAAATATAATAAATAGTAGACTTTTGACGAATATATCTCTAGACGCCACGGATGACGAACCACTCACTCCCAACCACTTCCTAATTGGTTGTGCCGGCGGAGCCGAACCATCATTGAATGATGTGTCCAAGGCAGAAGCCACTAGACAACAATGGAAGAAAGTGCAGTCTATGGCTAAAACTTACTGGGATAGATGGTTACACGAATACCTTCCTTCATCAGGCAAAAGATCAAAATGGTCGGAAGCTGTGAAAAATGTAAAGGAAGGAGACATCGTTATGATTGCTGAAGATGATCAAAAGGCAAAGTGGAAAAAGGAAGTTGTTTTGAAAACACATGTAGGCAAGGATGGTCAGGTAAGATCGGCTGTTGTGAAAACAGCCTCTGGAGAATACACTCGACCAGTAGTTAAATTGGCTATTATGGATGTTGAGCCGCCAGGAGAAGCTTCTTCAAATGAAGACAATAAAAAGAACAAGTAGCATCAAAACGGGTGTTGAAACACCAAGATGTTGAAACTATCATTAAAAAAGATTGCTTTGTGGGAATGATACACAAAGTAAATGACGAAACACTCGCGGAATAACGATCATATATAAGTAAACCTAGAAGGATTTACGGGCTCCGGAATGTTACCGCGAGGCAATTAATTTAAAACCAAAACCATAAGATAACCACATAGTTGCATCTCGTTTGCATAGCCCTAGCTGACGTTGATACCAAGGCCAAGAATATGAAATGAAAAGTAGGGCAAAAGGAGCGAGAGCTCGTTTTACATAATCTAACTGCAGTATTTACTTAGGAACGTTTCTGCGTTCAAGTAGGATAAACACGCCCACGCATGGCATGCTTCCCGAATAGAAATTGTAATGTAGGAAACATCAGCAGACATCTTCAATACATTAAATTTTAACGTGTATTGCTGTAACCTTAATGTATTCAGACTTCAGTGTGACGTCCAAGTACATAAAAATACATTAGCCTCAAACGTTACATCAGAATCAAACGTCTTGACGATGTAAAATTTGACATCAGAATACATCCAATGACAACAGAACCTAACGTTACATTAGAATCAAACATCATCACGATGTAATTTGTTGCACGCATAAAACATCAGAATACATCCAATGACAACAGAACATAACGTTACATTAGAATCAAACTTCATCACGATGTAATTTGTTGCACGCATCTAGGTTACGTTTAGCTTTCCCTCTCTGTTTATCCTTAACGAAGGATATAATTATAATGTTTAAACGTTACAAATGTCTCATTCTTATTTGTAGAGCCATATCAGATCTGAGTTACGAAAATAAATAAACTTACAAGATATCTGAGAAATCCCAGATCTGAGAGGGCATAGTATATAAGGTCTAAACAACACAAATTTACCCTTTCAAGGGCGATCGGAATCCTAGCTAATTAGAATAGGCAAATTAGGTTAAAGTTCGGTATTGAAAGGGAAATGTTAAACCATGGACAAATCATGTAAAGGTTTTACATAATTATAAGTTGCTAATGCAACACGTAGCTGTAAGATCACTTTGTACAATTTTGTTGAATAAAATTAAGTTTCGTAGGTTACTCCAGATTCTTCTCTTTTTGAATCCGAAAGAACTTTCGGCCTAGAAGTGAAAATTTCTCTCCTTAACCGGAGAAAAAAGTAGCTCCTAGAAGAACTCTTGACTTGGAAGTGAAAACTTCTCTCCTTAACCGGAGAAAAAATGAGCTCCTAGAATCGAGAAACAGTGTCTGACCTAGTAAGCGAAAGACTCTCCCTAACTGGAGAAGAAAGTAGCTTTTGGCGGCGACAACTAGGAATCGGTGGTAGATCTTACATCCCGTAGCGTACCACGAAAAGGTGATCTACCCACGTTACGGGGCATGCATCACTTATGAGTGCCCTTTCTAAATGTAGATGTATCAATGTAATATGTATCAATCAATCATATTCATGGTGCAGTATTGAACATCAACAACTGGTAAAAGTTGATAGAATATTACAGTCATCAACATGATTTGTTCTCGAATTCTGTGTACATCGTACAATGTGATATTAGGAACGGAATAACTAATGTGCAGCAGTTTTGATGTAATATTCAACAACTTTTTTTTTGTATTCGTTATATGTGGTAGGGGAAACGCTCCTATAGTTGCGGTACGTTAGAAGCGTTAGGTTCCTATAGTTGTGTATGGAGACGCAATACACAACTATAGGAACCTAACGCTTCTAACGTACCGCAACTATAGGAGCGTTTACCCTATGTGTCTCCAGTGGGATGCCTTGATCACTTATCATTTCCAAGAGCTGACATCTACTAACTAGACGTGAAGAAGAACTGGCATCACTGATAAGTTCGAAATGTGGTGGCTCGCTCAATGGTTCAGTGGCGCCACCATGACAAATGCAAGCACATTCTCAACTAAAACATTATTTGCGATGAATGTGATTGTGAGTGTTATGTCTGTTGCGTGTAAATTTCAGTAACTCATGATTACTAAACAAATAAGAATTAAAAACTATTTGAATAAACGTTAACTTTCAGAGTTAAATCTTGAAAAAATGGTATGAGCATTATGTGTGACTTAAAGATTGTCGAAGACATCATATCAAAAAGACTGGGTACTTTGCCAGAATCCAAGCGACAGATACAATAGCGCTGCGCTTAAGAGAAGGTGGAAGCAACGCATAGAAAAATGAGAAAATACTCAAACCTTTCTTCTGAGGATGTAATCATTGCTATCAAATTCGTGCGTATCAAATATTTACCTTGTACCTGTTTCATAGCGTTCGAATGAGAAAATTGGAGAGTTGCCAGTCTTCTTGATTTGTTGTCTTCGAGATTATGCAAGCGAAACATCCAATTCAAATCAATCCATTCACATACATCCTACGCATCCGTCTTAAGTTTTATATAATCGTGTGAAGGTCGCTAAGGGATATTTTAGTTTGAATTGCATGATTAACTTGGAGAATTGCATAGTCAAGTTGGTATGAGTGGACAATAACATAGAAAACTGAATAAGATAGAAAGTTGTGCATTGTTATGGGTTTTCTTTACGTTTCAAGCAAATTTGGTTCTTTAAGGGTATTGAGGTAAATGCATATTCGTAATCTGCATTAAAAATGGAACCCAAATCCAAAATTTCATCCATTTTGGTACACTGGAACTATTTTAAATAAGTACGATTACAATTTTGGATTTGGGTTCCATTTTTAATGCAGATTACGAATATGCATTTACCTCAATACCCTTAAAGAACCCAATTGGGTTTTTTAAGGGTATTGAGGTAAATGCATATTCGTAATCTGCATTAAAAACGGAACCGAAATCCAAAATTTCATGAACTGCAACTATTTTAAATAAATGCGATTATATTAGCAAAAATCAGCATCTTAGAGCCCCTCAGTTGAACTTTGTATGGAAGCGAGCTGTCAATTTGATATTATTAGTCACAGACAAACAGATATAACATTCACAAGTTGTTCATCGAACAAGCATTTAACGGACAATTTAAAAGTATTGTAGTTGGTAGTACCACCACCCGTGGCGCGCCTAGTCAATTCCCGCGTTTGACGTTTACACACTACCGCCATCTGTTCAGCGTAGTGCCCAGCACAGTGTACTCAACACATGGCGGTAATGTTTTAGCGACAATGTTTTACAGTGAGCAATATTCAATGTGTTATGTCTGTTTATCTGTGGTTTAGTGTCAAACAGTGAAGATATTATGTATTTTGCATTAAATTTTGATCTAAAAATCGCAATAAAAGTCTTTGGGTTCGAAAAATATAACGAAGAAAACGAAGCTCCTTCAAATGATAAAAAAAGAGCGATATTTTTTTTTCAGCACTAAAGAAACCATAAACCTAAAAACGAGCTCACAAGTTTTTGCGATCAGTTTGGACCTATCATTGAGCTAATATTTACCCATATTCTTGTTTTCCGTATTTTTCATACAACTTTTGTTTGTTTGAAGAAAAACGGTTCGAACCGAGGTTCGAACGAAAACGAGAATAATGGGTGAATATGTTCCGGAGCAAATGATTTCCATGTAATCGTTCTTGATAGACCCCCAGGCAATGAACCCAACAGACCGAGCTGTTGTTCATTCATTTATTCTCCAGTGCTGCCAGCAAACATCTTGTAACTGTCAAACATAAAATCGGACGAACAAACTGCGTGTTTGCGGTAGCCGCTTCGGCTGTGTTTGAATGTTTATTTTGATTCAGGATTTAATTTTTCGCATCAAGCTGGGCAGAAAATTCAATCTAAACCATGGAAGTACTCTCCAGCGAGAAGTATCTGATAGCTCGCGCTAAGGAAACGACTGATCCGTACACGGCCAAAGCATGGATCATCGCGGCAAAGACGCTCTTTCCGAACGACTTCGGCGTCCAGTTCGAGGCGTACGAAATCGAGAAGAATGCTAACAATTTTGAGGAAGCCGCGAAATGCTTGAGTTATATGTAAGTATTATATGAATCCTCCATTACGGGGATGAGAGCTGATGGGATTCTCTTCTTGTAGAATTATGACATTCCAAAACGCCCATCAGACACCGGCCAACCTGTTGAACGAAATCTCACTGATGACGTCCGCGCTTCGAGTGCCGGAAGGGACCACCACTTCGGAGCAGGAATTCTACGTTAAAATGTTCCAGTACATTTCTTACGAGGTGCAGCACAAGATCCTGCTGCTCACAGCTGCCCACTCCAATAATAATCTGGACCATTGCCGCTTGATTTTGCTGTTGCTGAAAAGATTCCCTCAAGCGATTTCCACTCATGCTGTAAGTCGATCCGTCGTCATTAAATTATTTTTGATATTGAATTTTATCTCACTTTCAGCCTCGCCTACTGGAAACTCTAGTTCAGAACATAACGATACCGAGCTTTAAGGAAATGTTGGTACAGGAAGCGATCCCGCTGGTTTACAATCGTCCTCCAGAACTACCGAGCAAGTTGGTTCATCAAATCATGGCCGTTTGCTTCGAGTATTATCTGAATCAGATGCTCACGGAAACTGAGGATAAAGCACGAACGATCGCAGATTGTTGGCGTAAAATTTTCGAAATACTTGAATTTTGTGCACAGATTCTCAAGTGGGAACCGTTCGTGCCTTACAAGAAAGGTTGGAGCAAGGATATCTACTGGCAGAAGATCATTCAAATTGTGCAGTCTGCTCCGCCGAGACCCTCCGAGAACAAACAGATTCTATTTTGCGCTACGATCGTGTTTGTGCTGTCGCTTCAGGAGTACATTAATTATTCCCGTCTGAAAGGAAAGGACAATGAGATTGAGGTGATTCTCGTTGAAGGTTTGAAGGATTTGAAAATCGATGTAAAACGCCGTCAGATGGAAACGGTTTTGGAGATTCCACAGGTGGTTGTCAATGGACCGGTTAACCCTGATGCTCCAAATTGTTTGGTAACGTCGTACAACTGTTGGCAGCTGCTGCACTCGAATGAAATCCTGAAGGCCGACTTTACTCAGCTCATTATATGCATACCGGGCTTATCGCTGTGGATTCAGAAATTCTTAATCGACCTATCGGTTTACGTTAGACAGCACGAAGAAACGCATTCGCTGCTTCAATCTCAAAATGCCCGCAACATGTCCCAGCTGGAGAAAAACGTCCGCTTGTTTGGTGTTGCATTGGTACAAGGGAGTATAAATGTCCATTTGTTTGAGCTGATGAACAGCATTCTGCAGAATCTTCCCACCACAAATGGATACTATTTGCAAAACGTCTCCCTTTACCCAGCGCCCCGGGTGCTGATGCTAATGCCTCTAACCAAGCGTGCCATTCTACATTATATAGTTCAAACACTCATTACCTTCCTCAAGGCCAAGCTAAGCGACCCCGACTGTTCGAACTCCGTTATGGGTAATCTTCTCGTTTTGTGCCAGCTGAATTGGCCTGACGAATCCACAATCGTGGAAATTATTTTCGAAATTATTAAATCGAGACGTCAATTCAGTTATCCCACCTGGACGAATTATGTGGTAAACGTGGAAATCGTCGAAGAGTTCATGTATATGTGGCAAAATTGTCCGGACGTGAAGCTGGAGTTGGCCTTGCCGTCGAGTAGTAGTACCCTAGCCGCCGCAGGGTCCAGGCGAATCGGAACGCGAGGAGTGGATAAGGGCGTAAAGGAGGACTTCAAGCAGGCGATCAAACAGCAAATTTCACGTAGCAACGAAGATCTGGATGAGCTGTTGGTGCAATTTCTGCAGCAGCAACATTTAAGCTTGTTGCAGAATATTTTCGAGAAATGATGAAATTGATGGACAAGGTAGAATTGATTGTGTAGGAGATTTATCTGGATATATTTTTATTCTTAAATTGCATAGATTACGTGTTGATTGTTGTTCCGAAATGTCCATAACTTCAACGAGGCTTTTGTGTTTCATGTGCCACGTTAACAATAGTACGTTCTATATATGCCAAATAGTGGATACAATGGAGTGAAATCGAATAAGGCTTGTTTATAAACATAGCCTTTTGATTATTAATCATGCTAACAGCTGTTATTGTTTACTCAATTTAATTGAATTGAAATTGACAATATTATTCAATACATAACAAATAAGCCGTGTTCACCAATGAAACCTAATTATTAATTTTTCTCAAGAGTAATTTTTTTAACGGCGTTTGGATTCCTGTATTGTTGTCTTACAGCAACTTCAAAAGCAAAAAAGCAAGTACTGAAATAAACCTAAAGTAAGGTGTGTTTCTCAGCAAGCACTGCACCAAATCGGACACAACAATCGCCAAATGGAACGAAGAGAGATCGACGTTAAATAAAGGAAAGTGCGTCCATCTGCTCAAATGCTTTTGAAGGAAAATATATAAGATGAGTGCTTACCTGTTTCCAACGACCAAAAACCCTCAATCGAAGTGAGACCTAGTGGTCTGCGGGCATACTATAAATCATCCCCAAATGCGAAGTTAATGACTTGGAAGAAATTGTAACCATTTCAAAAGTAGAATGCAAAATGCCATGTCAAGATCATGTCAACATAAGAAGTCATTTACCACAAATTCACACTACTAGGTGGTTTAGTAACGAGTTTCGTTTCAGCTAACCCCTCTCATCACAAAAATGATTAGCTAAATAAGCAATGATCAATGTTAAACTGCCAATACTATAACTAATTGTCGCAATGCCTGCAGAGCTCCGGTGCTAGCTCTTCCGCCTTGCAAAGAAATCTCAATCACCTATAGTCCTACAGCAACAGCATTGGACACCGCTCATGGGAACCATTGCAGCCGGACTAATGTACCAGCTGCTATCGGTTTGGCTAATCTTAATCGACGGTCTGCACTCTGCAACATTCTTGCATATAAAGGCTCTAGAGTCGTAGGCATTTGACGGCAAGTAAGTCTGAAGATGCACGGCGAAACCTTTCACAGTGCAATGCGGCCGATTCTGCTGCTATTCCAACTGATTGGCATATTTCCTCTGTACGGGATCCTGCAAAAAGACCCTCGGGATCTACACTTCCGGTGGTTCACGTTGAGAACGTTGTTTTCGGCGGTTATTGTACTGATTGGATTAACCATGAGTTACGTTGAGTATGAATGACTGGATCGGGTCGGTGGAGTCAATGCTCAGAATATAATTGGAATCGTGTTCTACGTGGATACGGTTATTAGTACTGTGCTGTTGGTGAACCTTGCCCGAAGGTGGCAAAAGTTGGCCGTTCAATTTGATGTGATCCACAACGTGTTTGTGATGGGCAGTGATGACAAAGTACGGAAAGGAATCCACTCGAAGATACGCGTCACCGCTTGCGTACTGCTCACGTGTGGCATTTGTAAGTGGATATTCAAAATCGTTGAAGCCGTTGATAGGAACTGATTTTTAATTTCAGTTCAACATGTAGCTTCCAAGACGGCCGACGTTTACAATCAATATCGTGAAGCCAAATTCTGTGGATGGGATGTGCACAATTTTCCACACTATTTCGCTTCTCGCAACTATTCCTTCATCTTCAAACATGTCCGATACAATATTTTGATTTTACTTTTCTTCGAGGTATGTTTGATACGCAGCTAATAGCTCGTTCAATCGAATCAATGATTTTCCCTTATTCACATAGTACTCGCATGCAGCCCTGACAATGTCCTGGGGCTGCCACGATTTGATGATCATTCTGACCAGCATAAGCATAACTTACTATTTTCGTCAAATTCACGCCAAAGTGCAACCCTTCAGTAGCGGTATCACGATAGCAAATGAGAAATTCTGGGCGGAAGTTCGTACTCAGTACGTGCTGCTTTGTGAGTTTGTGAAGGAGGCCAATGGCTATTTGGCACTGATCATCATACACTCCTGCGGTAAAAATCTGTATCTGATGTGCTTCGAGTTGATCAACATTACCAAGTGAAACCAAATCGGAACCAGATTTGTTCCCAAAGAGCTTACAGTTTGAATTTCCATTCCAGAAAAGATGATACCGTCGCCTCCACAATACATCACTGGGCTGCACTGATGTACCTGATTATTCAAACGACATTGGTCTTCTACAGTGCGGCAATGATCAACGAGACGGCTAGGGATCCGTTGGCAGTGTGCCATAGAATCCCTAACATCGGATGGTGTTCGGAACTGGAGCGGTTCACTGGACAACTGAGAAGCAATCAAGTGGCATTCACTGGGATGGGATTTTTTCGCCTCACCAAAAGAACCATGCTTGCAGTAAATGAATGAATTTATTAAGTCCTTGGAAGGGGGATCACATAAATTTGCACTTTTCAGATGGCAGGTACAGTGGTAACCTATGAACTAGTGATGTTGAAATTTGCAGAGGATACCGAAGGCGTCGGAGATATAGTTCCATGTTCGAGGCTGGCATTTTCCAAGGATTAAACAAAGATGAAATAAAGCAAAAAGATGCACAACTCTTATGATACACATGAGATACGAATAGCGCCACCGTGAGTGGAATTCCTACTAAAACACTGTAAAATGTAAAACTGAACGTCAAAATTATCTGATAGTTCGGCCTCGCCCAAGCAAGTCGAGAAGCTCCATCACGAACAAAGAATACTGATCGTCTCAAGTTGACCCGATGCAATCGCAGCAGAACACCTCCAATCAATAGACCACTACAACGATGAGCGGGTTTCGATGAAGCGCTCAATGGTCGAAAGGAACGCTTCAGTATTAAAACATCGCTGAATGAGAGCAGCAACAAACGGGAAAATTCCAAATCTCCCAAAAGACGATCATAACCACCAAACCACTTCACATTCCAAAACCAATAAAAACATGATAGGCAATGGGTCCACGGTTTTTCCTCCGGTACCTGCAGATCATTCTTTTTGTTAAGGGGATTTGTTTACCCTAATAAAACATTACCATAAACGAACGATAACCCAAATGATGGAACTAGTAATCCTGAAATTCGCGGAAATATCATCAGACGATTTGGCAACGTGGCCTTGTCTACGGTATGAGTTAGTTTGTTTACGTTATTTGAATTCTTAGAGTGAAATGGTGAACCGCGGTCGTGGAAATGCAACGAAGTGCAAAAATGTAAGCTTTTTTCCGGTTTCCAAAAAACACTGAATTTCGCCAAACATGGCGGAGTTTTGCGGACTACCGGCAGATTTTTCCCTAGAGGATTCTATGCGTTTGTGCAGTGTATGTTGCAATGATAATTATTGGGTGGTATCTATTTACTATTAGCTTCTTTCAGTACCACTTCACACACACACTTGTATTTTGCTTAGGAATTAAGATATATTGCTGGAAAAAACAGGAATATAGCGTATAGTGTTATTGCGCACTTCACACCAAACTGGACAAATAAGTGTTATGTTAACGCATTTTACTGCTATAATGTTTTTCAAATTTATAAAAGTTTTGTTTGAACGTATTTCACCCCGATGACAATACTTTTCAACCCAGTTCTCACTGCTCGATTGGCTCAATATGGCCGCTTCCGCGAATCTATATATATATACACTCCAAAAAATATGCACGTCCGATGTACGTGAAAAAATAGGTAGCTTTCGTCCATACTACTTTTCACGTAACATTTACGTTTTAACCCAGGTAGCCAAAATATTCCCATTCCCATTTCAAATAAAGCGAAGTAATACAAAAATACCTTCAAATAGTTGCAGTATGCTGAATCACTTCTTCCACTAATAAAATCGATGCCGCCATATTGTTTAACTTCTTCATGCATGCACACTAGAGTGGGTCATCGTTATATGGAAAAACGCAAACTTTACCTCATCAATCGAGAACAACTCTTTTTTGGTTCCATTTGGAGTCCCAAACAACTGTGCAAAATTTGGGGACGATTGGTTGTAACTCGGCTTTCCGCATTGCATTTGAAATTTGTATGGAAATTAGTATGGGAAATTTGCATTTTTATCCCTATAGACCGCAATTTAGCATAAACAATGCAACTAAGTATTTACAAATATCGATGAAGTGCCTAACAACTTCGCCAAGTACGATGCTAGAATGTATCTAAAAAAAAGTTATAGCAATTCAAATATTTGTGGTTTGAATTAAACACCAAAAAATCCTTTTTTTCTGCCAACACTGCCGGTGTACCAATGGGTAATAATATAACATTCGCAGTTGATTGTAAGACGCCATCACGTTGTAGTGTAAATATTTTATATGCACTTGTCCGTTCATTTGTTAGTGAGATGTTGTTTGAATTATTAGCAGTTAGAAAATTTCAAATTTCTATATAAAGCTTTTATTTGAACGTTTGAAATATTAAACTGCCATTAGGGCCACCCGCATATAGAAAACACAGAAGTAGTCGTACATCAAAAATCAAAAAACAGTAGAAAACGAAAACTGTCTTCACCAGTTTCGTCTCAGACACAGGGACAGTTGGATTTCGCTTGTTGGGCTATCTTTAAATGGGCTACAAAATGGTTAGTGACAATCTGGAAGGAACAATATACCCACCGACAAACCGACATGACACTTAATTCTGACTTATGCCCGAAAATCGAAAACGGCCGATTTAAATGTGCAGTGATCAGAACTGTCAAAACCATAGGATTTTTTTTTATCTAGATAAAATAATTTGTCTAGAATAGATCAGACACGAACCAATTCATGACTTTTGCATGCGGGTTCATGACTTAGCTAAATATTTCCCGCGAACATGGAGCCAGATGTCAGTAGTGTACTTTGGTCAGAAATTTTATTGTTTTTGCTATGGTCATTCATGTCGGTTTGTTGGTGATATACCTAGCTCGGGTCCTCACAAGTTCCTACCTCACGCCTCCACGAGTCATATGATCACAAAAGACTGCCAGCTGAAACATGGAC